GGGCCTTGAAGGATGCATAGGAGTCTAGCAAGTGGGTGACAGGAGGGGAAAGGAAAGACATTCCTGGCAAAGGATAGAAAAAGCAAAAGCACAGAGAAAGACAGGTGTGCTGTTTGTTCAAGAAATGGAGAGCAGCTCAGTGTAGCTGGGCCGATGGTGTGGGCTGTGAGAGGAAAACTATGACGATAGAAAAGTAAGCAGGAAATTGTACAGCGTCTGTGGAGTTCAATTACTACAAACTTGACCCCCGACCCAGCGATCCTGGATGGAAGTGTATCCATGGCTACGTCCGCATGTGTACAGAATGACTTATGTGCAATGTTCTTCATGGCTATACTTCCTAGACTAGCCAATAGTCCCAGTGTCCACCATAGAGGACTGGTTAAATAAATGATGGGATATCTCCTCAATGGACTACTGTCAGCTGTAAAAAATTGTAATTTCCATGAAAAGATAGAGAAACTCTTCAGAAAGTGTTATCAAACCAAAAAAGCAAATTGTAGACCTTTTCTAGAAGTGTAAAATTATATATTTAAAAATCAAGTTTCAGAATAGTGTATATAAAGTTACTTTCATGGAAGAAAATAAAAGGCTAAGTATTCATATTTATATCCAAGAAATGAATAGAAAGCGTTACATAACAAGGAAATCTGAGTAGATTGGGATAAAGGAGAGTAAGACTTCTCACTGGAAACCTTTTTTGTATCACTGAATCGTTAAACCACATCAATATATTATCTACTCAAAATGTAAAATTACATTTAAAAGTATCTTTACCCAAACGAGTTAAAAATTGATGTTCACACAAAAAGCCTGCACACAAATGTCTCTGGCAACTTCACTCATAACTGCCACCCCTCCGATGCAACCACGATGTCCTTCAGCAGGTGAAGAAAGCTAAACTGCGGTGCATTAGGCGAGGAATATTACTCAGCACCGGAGAGAAAGGCATTACCAAGCCTGGAAAAGACGCGGAGGAACCTTAAATGCATATGACTAAGTGAAAGTGACAATCTAAAAAGGCGACAGACTGCGTGACTCCAACTAGATGACATTCTAGGAGGGCAAAACCCCGGGGACGGTGAAAAGATCGGTGGCTGCCAAAGGCTGGGGGAGGGAGGATGACGGGATTTTTAGGGCAGGGAAACTATTCTGTATGGTCCTGTAATTAATGGTGGGGATGTGTCATTATACATGTGTCCATAAGGTGTACAACCCCAAGAGTGAACCCTAATGTGGCAATCCTGGCTCATCAGTTTTAAGAAATGTTCCACACTAAGGCGTGGTGTTCATAATGAGGGAAACTGGGGGTGGGATGGGGGTGGTGAGGGGTTATATATAGGAACTCTCTGTACTTTCTGTTCAAGTTTCTGTAAACCTGAAACTGCTCTAAAAATAAGTATTCATTTGGAAGAGAGAAAAGAAAGGAAGAGTGAGCAGGGGGCCAGCTGGGAAGAGTTCTGAAGGGCACACAAATCAGACTCTCATCCTATAAACACAACACAACATTTTTAAACAAGGCAGTGACAGAACGGTGGTCTGGGAGACGGGGGGGGGGGGATTCTGGTGACCCTGCAGGGATACGACTCCAGGACAAAGAGATGGGGCACCAATAAGCAGATTATGGAAGGGGGTTGGGTCTGAACGAGATGGGGCCGTGGGAGGAGAAGGGGACACGGGAGAGGAAGCAGCAGGACTCAGCGACAGCTGTCCCTGTGCACCAGGGATGAGTGGGAAAATGAGGGTCATCGTTTTCTAGATTAAACTCTGAGGCAAACAGTGGAGCTGTTAGAGTCCATGGAGCAAATGAGATGGGAAAATGAATTTGCTTTCGGACATGTGAGGTTATTTTACCTGTAGAGTCTGGATGTGGAAATATACGGAGGCAGCTCAAGACACAGAAGAGAGGTCAGGGGTGCCTGAGACACTAATCCTGAGTCGTATCAAACCACACTGACTTATGCAAGGGGACAAAATTCAACCTACAGTGTATTTTAGTAATAATATACCATGGGCTAACCAGTGAAATAACCTATTTCTTAACATGATTGTACCCACTAGACTAATATATTAACGTATTTAGCCTATCCCCCCAGAAAGAAAACAAGTTTTTCTAAAGTTATTTCAGACATATTTATATAGTGGTTCCCCTTCATCTGCTGGGGACACATCTAAGACTCCCCGTGGATGCCTGATAGTACCAAACTGTATAGATACTATGTTTTCTCCTGTACAAACATACCTATGAGAAAGTTTAATTCATAAGTTAGCCTGACCTGAGTGGGGCAGCCTCTAAACCAGCGGTTCTCAACCTGTGGGTCGCGACCCTTGGCAGTCGAATGACCCTTCACAGGGGTCACACTAAGACATCCTGCATATCAAATATTACATATGATCAT